AGCGAGGGATTCCCATTTTGTTTTCTCTGCAGCTGGGTGACAACTGCAGAGTCAGCCTTTCCTCTTCCCAGAATCCTCCCATTCTCATTGCCCCGCCTCTACTTCCTGCCTGGTTGCCCCACTTTTACTTTCTGCCTGACTACTGGCCAAGTGGCATTTTATTAAACAAGTACAAGAAACAAATTTTTACAGGGTAAAACCATTGTCCCACAGCAGGGGGACACATGAAATGTTTAAACGCTTAAATACATTTGCTCAAACTGACTCACTCATCATTTAAAGCAAGGCAGTTGTGCAAGGTTTAGGGCATACACGGGGCTAGAGCTCTTACTGATCCATCAGGGACTAGGATGCATCCCTGAACCCTCACTGGTAGCACACAGGAGAGACCCTGATTTGACAAGCTGCATGGGAGAGAAAAGAAACTCTGTGTGTAAGACTGACAAAGGGAAATCATGAATAACTGGTGGCTGAGTACTTGAGGCTAAAAGAGAGGTGCATCACATAACGATTATGGTCCAGTTCTCCTGAATGATGAGCTCTGGAGCCACTGGGGAGTAAAAACAGCTGCCTCACATTAAACCAAATCTGGCAGTGCCCAGGGAGACAGGGCCTAATAGAAACCTCTGAGACTGTCACAGAACTTGGCCAGGAGGCCTTGTCACCTACAGCAAGGCAGAGCTCCTGGAGCAAGCACTTGAGTGTGTCAGTCACTCATAAATCCATTGATTACTTGCCATGCCATTAGCTTTGTAGGGCAAGTATCCCACGAGTGAGAAAACAGCAACCAAATTTAAAATGTGAAGAAGACACTGTGTGTTATATGCATTAAGACATGCCACCACATTCTTCTATCGGGGACAGTCTTGATGGTGGTCGTAGCACACTGCCTCAAACATCAGCTTCAGCTGGAGGGAACAGCTCAGAGAAGCCCACATTCAGTAAGTGTTAGTGCTGCCCTCGCAGTTGGCGAATCCAAAATCTACCACTTCTGTCTGTTTCTGCTTTGTTGTCCATACCTTTCACAATGTGGATCTCTAATATACACAGCAGCCTGCAGTGGGTGTTGCAGGCTTTGAATCCGTGAATTCAAGAAACCAGACTTCTAAAAAGTCACAGCTGTACTGATCACGTACAGCTTTGTCCCTGTCACTATTAACAAAGCAACATAGAATAGCAACTGTTTCCACAGCACTCCCATTGTTCTTAGCATTATAAAGAATCCATGACAATTTAATATACAGCAGGATACACATGGTTCCATGTAAATACTAGCCTACCTTCTGTAAGGCATATATCCATGGAGAGGCTGCCTCCAACTTCTCCAGGATATCAAGAGATGACTGTATATATTTCTCAGATTTCATCCTCCTTTAACATCTGCTGCTAAACAATCTTATTGTGACACTGTGTGCAGCTAATAACATCCCCTTGAAGATAGAGTAGAACTAAAAGGCTTTGATTATCTGGTAAAGAACAAAATGCAGAATTTTTAACCCCTGGAATTGTTATCTTGTCGCGGCCACCCTCATCCCGCAAGGAATGATGTAACCACCTGAGCTCTTCTCACTGCAGTTTATTCCAGGACCTTTTTCACTTTCTCTCTCTCTTCCCCTCTCCTCTCTCTTTCCTTCCTCTCTCTCTCCACTCTTTGACCTCTCTCAGCCCTTAAGTAGGCATGGGCTGCCAATCCCGGATTGCCAGGTGGGCACTGCCCATAGGTGCACGCATATGCAGGCAGCTGATAATCATTGCGTGATCATAGTATAGGTCAGGCCTTAGCCATCTCAGGAGTTGATTATACATCTCCATCACGCTACATTATCTAGTAGGGGACAGATGTTAAAAAACAAACAAAATCTGCACAACAAACAGACACTCATACACATATACACACAAACACGCATATTTACACGCAGACACAAAAACACACAGACACTTTATACACATAGACACATATATACATACATGCACATACAGACAAACAGAAACACATGAAACAAAAACAGTCAAAACGATTGGACTGATTGAGCCCAGGAGCAACAGGCAACAAAACAAATCTCACAATTAAAAAAAAATGAGCATTTTATCATTCTGGCACACACCTTTAATCCCAGCGCTTGGAAGGCAGACAGGTGGATCTCTGTGAGTTTGATGACATCTTGGTCTACAAGAGCTAGTTCTAGGACAGGCTCCAAAGCTACAGAGAAACCTTGTCTCAAAAAAAAATATGCATTTTATAAAGTGCTATTATGGTCTACATTACCATGCCCAAGGTATTGGCAGCTGTATTATGACAATAGAGTTGCTTCTTTAAGTTTATATCCAGTATATCAAAACAATATAAAAAGATGGTAAGTGTATCTCATACTAACTTCTATCTTTTCATAGTTGTATTCTAAGACATCCAGTTACTGTCAATGTTGTCATACCAGAAAACTGATAAGATGTTGTTGTTTTTCCCTGCCCAACGTCCATCTTCCCCATGAGAGCATTTCAGTTTCTTAGCGTGGCCAGTCTGCCCACAGCACGTAGGTTCATGGGGTATACACGGAGACGTGTCAGTGGGCATCTATCCCCGTCTATCATGACTGTTTAGGAACGCGCATGTAATCCCAAGCTGGGCATAAAAATGAGTATTGTAGTTCTGCTGTGTTACTTGGCAAGAGGGTGTCAATCTAGTGGGATCAGAAAGCTGGCAGAATAGAAACCTCAAACTTCTGAAGTGGTCAATATTTTCCCTGAGAATAAAGTCAATTCGGAATATTAATGATAACAGTCATGGAAAGAATTCGTACTCTCACTTCTGCTGCGTTTCTTATGTGTGTATGGCTGCCCGCTGACTTAATTCAGCTATGATGCCTCTGACCCATCAGTGGATTTAATAATTTGATATCATTATTGACAGGTGGAAGAAACTGGGTGTGGCCTACTTAGGGCAAACTGGTCCTTGGATGTGAGCAGAGAAGAGTTGATCTGCTCTGCCTGTGTGCCATGAGGTAGCCATCCACTGATGGGTCAGAGGCATCATAGCTGAAACCATGCACCAAGATAAGTCCTTTCTCCTCTGTTTTCTAGAGCATGTTTTTCAGTGACAAAAATCTAACTAAATGGTGTCCTAAACATGTACTTATAACATACCGATGTAAGTAAGTTTGGTATATATTGTACTGGATATATACAGAAACGGCACAAGCAGGGTTTGAAGCCAACTTTATGCCTTTGTCCCTCAGCCCATACAAACTGCTGATCAGAAAAATGAGAATTCATGGAGTGAGCCTGTTAAAAAGGTTTTTTTTTTTACATTTATAGTTTCATGTGTGTATACACATGTACTGTGGCATGTGTGGAGGTAAAATGACAGCTTGTGAGAGTCTGTTTTCCCCTTTAGGCATGTGGATTCTCAAGATGGGATTCAGATCCTCAGGCTCTGGAGTAGGCAAAGAGAGCCCCCGAGCCGTCTCGCCAGTCTTCTTAAATTTACTGAACATCTACGCCCAGATGGAAGGAGTTGTCTTGAATTCTTCACTTTGGTATATCAGCAAATCAAAGTTTATCCCAAACAATCTGAGTTGGAGATCATTCTCTCTCTCTCCCTCCCTCCCTCCATCCGTCTGTCTGTCTGTCTCTCTCTCCCTCCATCTGTCTGTCTCTCTCTCTCTGTCTGTCTCTCTCTCTCTGTCTCTCTCTCTCTCTCTCTGTCTCTCTCTCTCTCTCTCTCTCTCTCTCACACACACACACACACACACACACACACACACATGTGCATGCACACACTCCACAGTGCATACATGGTGGTCAGGAGACATCGTTCTTTCCTTCTATCATCTAGATTCTGGGGATCAAATTCAGAGCGTGTGAATCAGCAGCAGGTGCTTTTCCTCACTGGGTCATCTTGGCCAGCTCTGTTGCTTTATCTAGTGGGAACTCAGAGTCCTAAATAACAAATTGTGTCATTTCTTTGTATGAGAAAGAAGACAGCGCTGAGCTGCCTTACAAGGCTAAGGAACGTTGAAATAAGAAAAATGCATGTTCAATACGGGGAATGAAATACATGTGAATATTGTCATCTACATTTGAAAATTGTGTATTATCCTGAATTTTCAGCTTTTCACAACTAAGTTTTATATGAGAAAAAAGATAAATTTTAGATACGTTCTTCTCAAACTGTGAAGCACCTCACCTAGCTTACACTAAATTGATGCTGCACTGACTCAACATTAGGTGAATGGGCATCCCAAGTATGCTACTTTCCCTGTTTATCTCCAGCTGCATCAATATCTTAAGTGTTGAGTGAAATATGAACACAGATGGTCACTACTCTACCACATCATATATTCATGTTTCTAGGTTTGTCCCTTAAAAACCATCTTTTAATATATTCTAATTAAGACTTGAGACTGATCAACACAAGCTAATTTGTTAATTTCCAGAAATATATATATATATATTTTATAGTATATAAAGTACACTGATACTATTTAACATGCGAACTAATTAGATTCTAGCATATTGTAAAGGCACAAAATTGATACTGTTTAAAGATAAGTGCTATTATTTTGACAAAGTTATTAAAAACAGCACCAATATTCTCATATTATTTAACAAAGGGTTCATTTAGTGATTCTTCAGAGAGAAGAAGTTACTTGACATGCATGGCTAGTTTACCCTAGTACCCAAAAGACCTTCAGTATGTCACAAAATTACCAATACACTTGGTGAGACCAAAGATATAGACTTAGGTAATAGTGTTCTTTAGACTAGCTGTCCCATGGTCCCCAAACCTTGCTTCTAGGCTGCCTTAAGCACTTTTTTACCTTCTGAATATAAGAATTCAACTCTGAAGGGGTCTGCAGCTAGGGGCTGAACCTCTTGAAAACTGGCTTCAGGAAAAAGTTCAGGTAGGAGCAAGACTCTAGAACCTGAAGTTTAATATAACAGGGTCTTATGATGTTGGCTTATGACGTTCTGTCATTTCTGAAAATAAATGCATACTCATCTCAGAGTCTCAAAAATCGTTTATTTTTAGAGTTTGACCTTTTCTATGAAGAAGCATTCTTAGTCATTCTCAGTATTCATCTGACAAAAATTTCCCATTATTCTTGACATTAAAAAATTTAATAGATGATTTAAAAAAAATAACCTGAACATTTATAAGATTTTCTCATATCATTTAGTTTCCAGTGATTAGAATTTAGTGGCTCTTAGAAAAGAAGAGGACAGTGGCTGAGCAGCACATGCCTTTTCAAAGACACCTACATATGACGTTGACGATGACTAATACCAAGGACACACAATACATTTTCCCTCAGAGAAAACAGTTTGGTTTCTAAAGAGCATTTACTTCTGACATTTCAATTCCTGATTTCAGTGGCTGCACACTGTGCACTTCTATGCCACACTTAGGACAGGTAAAGTACATGTCAAATAGGAAGCTACTTTTAACGCAGTAATAACAGAACACGTGGTCACATCCAATGGTGTGAGGCATTGTGGGCCACTCTCCACACAGGGCACATTCTCTGCCACTGCTGGCGAGGGCACTGTCACTAACAGTGCCGGTGAGGGGTATGCACCAGGAAGACAATTTGGCTTTCAACTTCTGGATATTGATGAGTGGTAATAGGAAAATCAGAAACTCAGCAAAACCGTGCCAGAGAAGTTCCCTATTCATGTACTCAAAGCCAACTTCACGCATGTTCTGGGGCTTGCAAAATACAGAATGAATGCCAAGGAGGCGTTCTGTCAAAGTTGCAAACTTTCCCTTCTGCAGGAAAATCAAGAAGTTTATCAACTCACCTAATTTTATGAGTCCAACCACAAAATTCATGCACTGTTTGACTTTCCCGAAAGATGCTAAATGACGGTTTCGAAACAAATCATAACATCGTTCTTCTAACCATCGACCCCCAATGGTGCACACGGCGTACCACAGTTTCTGATTTTTACTTGGTGGCTGGTATCTTGGGCTGGAAGAGAAATCATTTTTGTACTGAATATTCAGAACTGACTGCCCCACAGTGGCATTTCTGGAGTAGACGGTGAACCGCCATAGGAAAAGCCACAGACATGCTTTCACTTCTGGTTCAAAGCGAGCTAAGAGCCCTGGCTTAAATCCATGAAAGCACTGATTAAACTGGGACCACACGAGCTGCTCCAGAGCTTTGTTCAGTTCAAGGGCATCCAGCTGACTGATCCTCAGCACTCTGTTCGCACTCTTCGTCTTCTCCTCTCTGCCCGCCATGTCTTCTCTGGAACTGTCTAGGAAAAAGACAATTAGGGAGCATCAAGCAACAGCAATCTTCTATGACTGCCTCAGCTGCTGGGGTTCACAGAGATGGGCTGTTTACAGTGGGAAAACAACAAACAATCTCTTCTTAATCAGAGAATCTCTCTTTTCTTCTTCCTTTCTTTATGTCTTGCTTCATGCCCCACCTGTTACCCCTTCTCAGCAAGGGACTCATGGGTAGCAGGTGAGAGAGAAGAGCGAGATGAGGAAGGACAGCTATTTACTGACTGCAGGAATATACCTCTACATAATACCCCTTGGTTGGATATTCTGTCAGACAGATTAAAATCCTGAAACTAACAATGAGGCAGAGTAACACATTAAATGGAGGATAATTTGCATAGAACACGGCAATAGATGGTTAAATCAAGACCTCACTGTGATTTTCAGTGCTCTTAGGGGATTCACGGATGTGTTTTTCAAGTAGTCACTTAATCTTTCTCAAATATATTTACATTTCACTAATGAAATACTAAGGTGTGTTTTGGATACATACACTGTAAAGTACTTAATAAAAAGCATCAGTAAAGATACATACTATAATAATTTCATAGATGCACAAGTAAAGAAAGAGATGCTAAAGAAGAATCAAAATAATAAGTGAATTCTAAAAAGTTAATTAATGTTAGTTCAGTAGTCCGGTAGGTATGCCTCAGAAGTAATTTACGATTTCTAACGCGGCAAAGAAAAACCTATCACTGCAGCAGTTGGTACACAGATCAGTGGAGATCTCTTACATCCTATGAATGAACCATCAAACTCGAGCCAAAACCCAAATTTGCTTTAGTGTCTAAGTGGGTCCTTTGCTTCACCTACTTTCCTAACTCTAGGAAGCTGAGGGTAAACTTGTGATTGCCATGTAATAGCAAAAACGGGAGACTTTCTCACCAAATGCACATTCTAAGTTAGAAGATGAATAAATTCTGCAAACTTTTTGTACAGCATGGCTACTACAGTTACTAAGACAGCATGCATCTTTAAAGATGGCTATGATTGTGTCTTCACAATCATACACATACACACACACTCGATGAGCTGTAATGGATGTTTGTTAATAGCGGTACTTATCATATATGTATACATATATGAGGTCATCATGTTATTTACTTCATATATCTAATCCTTTTCAATTGCATGATAATAAAGCTAAGGGAAAAATAAGTACAGTAAAGTGAATTTTCAGCACACCAAATTTAAGCATGATCTCAAGCCCATAGCAGTAAAATCCAGAAGCCAGGCTCACACTAAGGCATGGATCTTTTGTACATCAGCTGCTGCCAGTGTGTCATGGGATCTGAAATCAGGGTTTTTACCTGATCCTCCCTCCACCTTGGTTATTTCACCATGCAAAACAGAGGCTAGAGACAAAAATGATCCTCCAATTCCCTTCAAATGTTATTATCTTATGAACTTTATTTAAAGATAGACATTAAATGTTATCTATTAGATAGTAACAACTGAAAACATCCTAAAACAAATTTGTACTTCTTGAAATGAGAACTATCTCTGACAACACAAGACATTTTCAAGAAGTGAATTTTAATGCTGCTCATGTGTCCTAGATTGAATTAGTGGCAGAGACCTTATGCTTAACAAGTTCAAACACAGGAAGCAAAATGAGCCTTGAATAATACAAGTTGCTTGGTGACGACTTGCACTAAGCCATACATGAGCAATGACTTTCCTATAAAAAGGGCAATCTCCTTCTGAGGGAGCACTCACCTTTTCCCCTGTTCCTGTGGTCCCTTCTGGACTCAGCAGCCTACCCACAAGGCAGTGGAGAGCTCTCCTGCACGTTTGCTTCAAGAGATTCTCGCCTCATACTTGCTGGGAGCTACAGTAAAGAAAGGGGGATTAAAAAGAGACAGAAGAGAGGCCTTTCCTCTATCACTAAAATAATCTAATCTAATCTATTGCCAATGAGTGTCAGCTCTTTGTCTAAAATATTTTTTCTCACACTCTCTAACTGCTAGAACCTAAAGAAGTCTGGTCGCTCTCCCCTCCACTGGGATTAGTTCTAGTTGCTTTATCTCCCTTCTGACCCATCAGACACTGTCCACCCTGGAGTCATTCTGGAACACAAGTCTTTCTGAACAGGTGCCCCAGTTCCTTTTTAAAGCACCCCTGCCACTTCATAACATGTATTTTTTCTTCTTCTTTTGCTTGGAGCATGTGTCCCCATTCCTCAGCTGAAAAACCTAAGTACTGGCTCAAGTACCATTTCCTCCTGGCTCTAATTTTGCTTGGATGCCTTTCTGGGGTTCCCTTAGCATCCCACTTTCCTTTTTTGTCCTCTATACTTTGGACACAATGTACTTTCTAATTGTCTATTTCCTCTACTACATGGTAAGCAATGATGCTAAGAATATTTGGGTATTATCAGAGTAGAATCAGGGCACCTAGTTCCTGGTACATAAAGACATTTTAGAATTGCTTGATAAATGGATAAATGAGCAGAATAAAAGCTTAGGATAGCACACACAAATTCTATCTGCTAACTTTTAAAATGATTTCCAATTACCATAAAAAACAGATTCTTATTTACTCAACCATGTTTGTGGTCCATCTGCTATTTATCAGCTGTGTTGGAGACTCTAATATGTAGTAGAATGAGAGACAGTTGTGAGCTAGGTTAAAAGAGGGGGACTGTAAGGGCATGCTATAGAAACAGGCAAACAGATGGGGTAACTGATTTTCTAGGGGAAATTTAGGACACTGTGCCTCCATCCTCATTTCTGGAGACAGGTTCCTGGCAAAGAGCCATCTAAGAAGGCCCCGAGAAGAAGCAGCTGGGTCAATACGGTTATGAAACTAAAAACAATTAGGGAGAGGTGTTACGAAAGCCAGAAGCACAAGAACAAGCAGAAAGCTGCAAAGGAAATAGATCCTAAAGTCTCTAGGATAGAAGCTCCAGGAAAATAACAGGATTCAGACAACACTCCTAAGTGAAAAGCTAATCAGGTTTGCTCTGTAGACACTTGCTCTGGCCACTCACAGAATAGATTTCTGCTGGCTCTGAGGAGGCCTGGAAGCACACTGACCATTTAACAGGCTGTTAGGTTGATCTAGTGAGAAGTTAATGGTGGTGTAAGTTATAAACCTATCAATGGGGACAAAGAAAAGGAATGTCCAAGTCTAAAGTGGGGTGGGAGACCTGACACCATTTGACAAGAATTAAATAAAAATAATTGACCAGAGTAGAAAATGACTGGATGGGGACTCAGTGCTCTAACATGGGAAATACATGAATATATGCAACCAGTTTTCAAAGTCAAAGGTTTCTATGAGATGCCTTGGTGGCTATCCTGTTAACATGGGACCGAGAGTTTGGGTGCAGATTTTTATAAGTCCAGGCATTTCTAATAAAATTTACCTAGTTAAACATTAAATGAGGAAGGCAGTGATACAAACTTCTGGTGGTCCATATCTCCTCACAGTGAATTCAGCTTTCTCCATAACAAGAATCTGATTTTTCATACTTTTCAATTGATAAAAGAGATATAAAAATGTATAAGAAAGATACATATCTCTTTGTGTATTCTACATACTCTATTCCTTCCATGTCCCTCTATTATAGTGGTTTTCAAATTTGAGAGCTTATCAGAGCCACTCACAGGATCTGTTAGATGCTGAGTTCCACTCTTAAGAATTCTGATTTACTGGATATGTAATGGGACCCCCACAGTTCACGTTTCTCATAAGTGCTCTAGAGATTTTGAGAACTTCTGGGTGAGTCAGTTTCAAAGATAAATTCATCTTTTTTTCCTTCCTATCATCTGCATGCCTCAATACTGCATGTTCTTCCTGGCATTCATTTCTAGCTGGTTTTCATCACTTCACCTATAAAAGCTGGTAGAAACCTCACTTACTCAGCACGTCTTTTTCTATTAAGTAGTCCTTGTGAAATTCAAGGCCATTGTTGATTCCACAAAAATCCTGATCATTATTGGATCTTGGAATTCAGAGAAAAAGACATTTCCTGGCTCTCACATAAGGGTATCATACAAGTCCTAAAAAGAGAAGCAATCAAGTAAGCAGAACTAGGTGCTATTTTCCCTACCGTACTAACATTATGTACTAACAGGAAAAACCAACTAGCACTATTCGATCAGCAAACACAAAGCTCCATGGTCGCTTGCCCCATCCATCACATACCTGCTCCCCGGTGCTGAACTGGAGAGGCAGCATTCCTAGCCAAGGAGCAGGTGAGATGCACTTGCTTTACATGGTCAGTGTGCTAATTTACATATCTCTAAAGACTAGGGTTGTTAGAGTTCCAGATTAGAGGACATAAGTATCTTCACCTCGCCACTCTAGAATTCACCACGAAGATTGGCTGCTTACAGGAGCTGCTCATGAATGAACTGTGAAGCTGTATGAGATGGCGGAGAGAGGTAGCCAGTCAAAGCACTAGTGAAAAGCTGGACAGTCAGGAAGATATGTCAGCCTCCAGTGCTTCACTGATACTTAGGGAGTTGTCAGGGAATAGTTTCTCAGACATATAATCTTTTTCAAAATCCTTCTTTCTAGAGAAATCATACTTGAGACCATGTAGTAAAGAGGAATTTTTAATGACTGCCAGGAAAGGAGACTTAAGACTTAACACAGTCTAACAGATCCAATATTTAACAATACTATAAAAAATTCTTTCTTATTCCTTCTGTTATAGTTTAACATTTTTTCTTTGCTTTTTTTCCTCCCTAGGCCTGGCCCCAGTGTAGATTAAGAACAGCTGGGCTCACTCTCCTCCCTCGGTAAGGCTCTTAGGAGACCAAAAGACTTATTATTAAACCGCTCCTCAGCCTTTGCTTCCCCAGATGAATAATTTGTTTCTCTGAGTTTTGTTTTAGAGTTTATTTCCAAGATTTTAATAGTTTTGTGCCTTGTTTTAGTCGTAAACCTAGAACAAACACTGTCCATTACACTCCACAGTTTGTCAGCATGGAGTGTCTCACCTATATTCTACACCCCCTTTCGGACAACTGCGGCGGACTGAGGAAAGCAAAGTCAAACTTTCCTGGGCTCAAGTTCTAGCTCTGTCTCCTTCTTGCTATGTGATCAAAAAATTCATTAGCCTCAGACTCTTCTTCTGAAAAGAAATAACAGCAACTCCAATGGGTTGTTGAGATTAACCTAGATAATGCTAGGAAAGTGGCTTGAAACTATAAAGAAGTCTTATTACCGCACCGTTATTACCTTGGCTAAGGATGGGCATAAAAGAAAAAGACTACAAGCTGATTTTGGCCAATCTCGTTTGAAAAGACTGCAATCTTCATTATTACTCACAATAATGCCTTAACCTGTGTCAAAAGAATTTGTTTACAGGAAATACTGACTACATCATTAACATGTAATCGTGGCAGAGAAACTGTAAACATAATATCACCACTACCTGTGCTTCTGTGAGAGGAGGCAAGAAGGCCGACATAAGGCTTATTCACATACAGTTTGCCTCTCGGCTGGAAGATCACATAAGAGGACTGCTAGAGAATCGGGTTGGGTTCCATCATTACTAACACACTCATCAATTTAACCCCATCAACGCGGTTGGGACTGTGACTAGGGAATGAAGAAACCTCAGGAACACATGGTACTAACTGCTTTGGGTGTACTTTGTCCCATAGGGCAGGGCACAGACAGTTCAAGTACTTAATCCTTGGTTTATCAACAAAATAGTATATTCAGTTCTTCCTCTTGCCCAACTCCACCCAGTCCCTATTCTGGCAGGCACAGATCTTTCAGAATACTAGCTTTAGACAAGAGCAGTGCCCAGGAGAGGAAACTGATGAAGTAAATATAATTGGAAGTTCAATTAATCTGATTATAGAATCCTCTTCCTTCCACTGCAGCATAATAAGATTTGTCCCGTAATAGGCGTGAAGTACAGAAAAATGCCATAAATGCCTTTAAATCACATAAAATCATTCTCAACATAATGGAAGTAGTCTGTGTTTTAGTGACTTCTAATTCTCTGACAAATACTTATTCAATTTAACTAATATTCATTGGGCATATAAATGTCAGGCAATCTCCTAGGTAGCAGGGATTTGATCTAAATATTTATTATCAGTGGACTTCCCCCCTCCTTTTCCCCATACTTGTTTAATACAACAGAGTTTTAGTAAATCAGAACTGGCCATGGATCCCTGAATCAACAAAAGGATCTCAAACTGTGAAAATACTGAACAGGGACACAAAACTCCTCAGAGGAAAAGATAAGTATCTTTCTTACTTAGGACAAAGGAACAGGCTGTGCAAAAAGCTTGAGATGTGAACTGGCTATGGTCTCCTTGGGACTCCTGGAGATCGATTTCAGCAGGAGCTGCTGGAATGTAGCCTTGGTTAGTTAATCAGTGTGTTTTCATATGTCACCTGGCTGCAAAGAGGTAAGTCATCTGCTATGATGGAGGCAGAGAGGCCTTTCACAAGAGATGGACCAAGGCCTAGGCCACATTGGACAAAGCACCTAAGCTGTTAGGGATGCTGCACAGACTGTAGGCATGATGATCACCCAGAAGTGACATAACAGGGTGTACATTTCAGAAGGTCAGCCTGATAACAGAATTCCCTGAGTTAGAGGAAAACTGCTGCTCAAAAGAACAGTTCCAGGACTTCTTCCAAATTTTGGAAAACATAATTTATTTTCAATTAAAACTTTGCAAATAAAAAGAAGATATTAATTACATTTTTGGATAAATAAATTTCTACTACTTTCGGTAAGCCAGTAGTTTCTAGGATCCTTTTACAGTGATTACCAATACCAAGGCTCAACCACCGGTGAGTCCATAGGTTCTTTACTTTCAATTTAGGTAAGCTTTATACTTCAATGTTTTGGGGTTCTTTTAAACTGGTACTAAGTTTTATAAAGGTTGGCTCAAAGTTGAAAGGTTCAAAAAATAAAAGTAAATCTGTCAATCTTTTTGCTCCTGAAAACTAAAATTATTCTGCATTAAAATAATAGATTGATATTTTTCAAAATGCCCAGGCAAGTTTCATCCTATTCCACCTTTTAATACCCAACCTGATACTTTTCTCCCTCACTTTCTAAATCATGATAAACTTAAAAAATATTTATTATCCAAGCAAATAAAGTGATTAAAATTATAATCTGTGATATACATTTTAACATTAGAGACAGATTCTAGTACTTTAAGGATACATGGGAAAGATGCGAAAGGCAAAGTTAGGAGCAAATAAAAAGTCTAATACCTAATAGTGTTAAGGGAATTAAAACTAAGTTGTCAAATAAATATGTTTAAGACTAAATGACCCAGCACTAAGAACTGTTAAAAGGGTCCCCTGCTGAAATTTTATCAGGGGACATGCCACACTGCTTTCCTTTCAGATTAAAAAAAAAAAAAAATCCTGGAAATAGGTTTTGGAAGAGGAGCAACATATAACCCATGCCTTAAATGACTCCTGTTTTCTTTTTTATTTTCACTGCCAAAAATAAAACCTTTATCATCAACATCACATTAAAAAAAACATAACAAATGATTTTATCTCATGGAGGAAGAAGGAAATTTTCGGGATGTACTTTAAAGCTTTTATTGAGTGTGGTGCAAATTTTGAATGAATATATTTTATTTAAAAACACGTTATTGACAGAAATCTATCAATAATAATGTGGGTATTGTCAAGGGCCTGTCAATATTAATGTAATTATGATTAAGAGGATACATGGATTTTAGCTATAATACCAAGTAACATCTCCTCCAATACTGCTATCAATATACACATTATTATTGACCTGCTCTGGGACTCTCAGTACTAGATGTATTACCATTAAACATGTTTGTCAATGCATACTGCCTACAGAAATTCTACATTTAAATTTACAGGCCTGTGAACTTTGTCAGCAGAAACCTCTGAATTCTGATTAATCTCTAAGTTACCACACATGCCCACTTCCCCTGCCAGGTTCTTTTGCATCTTAGCAACAGGGAACACACCCTTCATAGGACAAAGTCACTGCTATACTATCCTAGGAATTCTACTGATCAAAATGGATGGAACTGTAATTCCATTTTATTTCTTTCTACGTTTCTAAAAGTTTTAGGCTAAAACTTCATACCTGGAGGTTATAAGAATAATCTCTAATCGTATATCTTAAGTTTTGAATCTATGTTCTACTACTTTATCTTCTTTGTGTAGTCAGATTTACTGTCCATTGTACTGAAATCAATACTAGCAAATGGGACATGAATCAGAAAGGGACTTACTGGATTCCCAGAGAACACTTCAAACAGAGGTAAAGCTATGCTGAGATACATTATAAAACCCTGACCTCTAGCACCCTGAACAGGCCTAAAACCCAAAAATTTGTAAGTTCAAATCCCACTTCTGCTGAACTTGCTACACAATTGCTCTTATTCTGTTGTTACTCTCTCTGTCAAACAAAGATTCAGTTTCAATATTTCATAGACAATGTGATAAATCACAATAATACTCATTTGGATACAAACAAGAGAGATACATGAAGTTTTCAAACTGTGGATATTAGGTCTCCAAATTTTTTAGCTTGAACACAGCTCTTATAAAAATTCTAGTATTTTCTTAACTTTTCTAAAATTGTACAATGATAAAAACAGTACAGAGTTCTCAAAAAGGAGAGCAGGGACAAGCTTTGTACCAGAGCNCCATTTGGAAAGAGGAAGAAACCAAAGAAAATGGTAATTTTTCAAGACTAGAATTGATCTTACACACACATACCCAAAACAAATATACTCACCCCCAAGGTCTTGCTTATTTTAGCTACTGTTTACTTGTTTCAGTATTTAAAGTTAACCAAAACATTATTTTAAACCTTAAAACAAAGTTTCCAACACCTTATCCTAGCCTCGCGCACTTAATAAAAAGAAATCAGCAAGGTTTACATAGTCTTTTCTTTTAGAAACCTGCTCTTTCTGCATCATACAAAGAGTAGGCAGCAACACTAAAGAGATGTTTGAGTGCACACCAGAGGAACAAAGACACTACGGACAATTCATTTTACTATACAATATTCTTCATTTACTGGAGAAACAAACAACTGTAGACAAAACTGGTAAATTACAGGAAGTATTATAGCAAAGCTTGGAAGGGGGAGGAAACTGGGACAAACAAAAAACAACCCCTTTCAATTGAAGACATGGTAAGAGTGAGCACTGATGCTGGAGAATGCTGAAAAAGGAGCAGAATACAGGATAAAGAGAGAACAAGGGGAAAAAATAACAAATGGGACACAAAGATTAGTAACTACAGTTGAGTCACAGGGCTAGAAGTGGCAGAGCCTTGTTCTGTATTTGTGCCCTCTACGGACAAGGTGACAATGGCCTGGAAGTATAAATACTTTCAGGTGGCACCAGAGGACACAGAAGGAATTATTTTCAAAGGCTAAGTATTAAGTGCAGGGATTCCAACTACAGGAAAACCTACAATCCAAGCGTGCAGAAACATCCAGATAAAATACCTGAAGAAATGGCTTCAAATCAGTCTATATTTTTTTAAAATCAAACTGCTTAAGAGAAGAATTCCAGACCACTTGAAAATTATTATAACAAAGATTTAATTGCAATTTTTATAGCAAAAAAGAATGGGAAAATATCCTCAAACAAAGAGGTATCAATCATAGAACAGAACAAATTACGATATGATACATAATTGTACCATATACTTTTTCCTTTATATTGTGTCCTGAAACCATTATAATACAGTAGCTGTTATAATCTCTACTCTAAATCAAAAAAAAATTAAGATGAAGGTAACAGTAAATTACTGGTAATCACTACAAAATTGCAACACACACACAAACTTAGAATGAGTGGGTAGCTGCTGAGCTTGAAGCAAATGTAATTCCACAAAATGAAAAGCGAATTTTTGCTCCTAGAAATGATTCAAAATACCAAATTCATAACCAAGCTTTCAGAAGTACAGATGGAGAAAAAAATTAAAGGAATGTGGTAAATCACCCATGCTCTCATCCACATTCCCTCCCCCTATCCATGCGGTCAGAGAAGCAGCCAAAGGGATTGAATGTCAAACCTAAACAAAGAGACTTATATGGGTGAAAAATGTGGCATGATCATTTATTATGAATACAGATTTATGTGTATGGTAGATGTCATGCTAGCTCATCCAATGAACACGGGTTGCACGTGAGAGAGACAGAATTACTTTCCAGCTCCTGGCTTTTGTGTTTTAATAAGAAAGAAAAGACAACTTGGATGGTATTTTATCTTACTTTGCTCACTTAGGAAAGAAATCTGAGCTCTGATAAAAGGAATACATATTAAACAGAGTAAAAAAAAATAATGTAGAAAGGGACTTTCTGATTGTATGGAAGGAAATAGGCTGGAGAGACAAAAAAGCCACACTAGCAAGGCCAGAGGATATATAATCCTTGTCCCTATCTCTACTACCATGTATAAAAACCACAGTATTGTGTTAAAAGGGACAGTGACATGGAACGGTAGAGGCTTCTCTTCCAAGGTTTCTCTCACATTCTGAAGAAATAAAAGCTGGACAGCCTCCTTCACAGAAAAGAGAGAGGAAAATGTAACCTGTATTCTGGTTGCACAACTGGGGTGGGGGACGCAATCTTAAGTGAATTTTGCTTCAGACATAAAATCTGACATGGCTCACAGTTCGAAAATTACTTTATTGCCCTGAGGAACAAATGGTGCTAGATTCCTAGTCTTACTAGAGAAGTGATGACCAGCAAGACTGCACGTAACTTTAAGGCTAATTCAGCAACTGAATTAGTGAAACAAAATTATGGCAAGGACTTTATGACCAATCGATTAAGCAAAGCATGAATTACAGTTAAAAAACAAGACTATCTGAGAGGAAGAGAAACTAGGAATGATGACCCATCGTAAAGACAAAACTAAACTAGAAACAAATATTTCAAAACACGAAGCAGCATTACCATGTCTGCAGCTTTTAGAAACTAGGAATATTTAATTTTAGAAAGCCAGAATGGCCAAGTGAATGCACACTGAATACAAGCGTTCAATTGTCCTAAGAAAGAGAATTTTTACGCGCAAAGGAAAGGCAGATCATCTGGTCCAAGATATGAATTAAACTTTAACAGGGACACTGTTATAAAAGAAGACATAAATAGCTGTGCTTGTTAAACTACAGCTGACAGTCGGCTTGCTTTGTCTCTCCTCTGCATGGCTCCAGGAAATTTCTACAAAAGTTCTTTTATGGAACAATTTTCAAACCACAGATTGAGTGCTACCTCTAATTACTAAAGAGGAGAATTAGGCCAAAAGGTAAAATTGGGCAGGAGCAAACTATAATCAGGACTAGAACCTAATTCTTTTCATTTTAGTGGTCTATTATGTTCTGTTATTTTACTTTTTAAAGAAAAAAAAATGAGGTTCTTTTTTCTAAGTAATTCTGCTGACTCCTTTTTCAAATCCCCTGGCCCATGGTCTTTCAACTGTAATCGTTCTGGATACAAGTAATTGGTAATACAAAAGAGATCAAGTCAGTAAAAAGAAAGAAAAAAGAAAAGTCAGCCACTTCAAATTCATTCTGCTCAGGTTTATCTAAAGGCCACACATTCCTGGAAGGTGTTTTGACTACAAACTGGTAAAGGGGGGGTTGGAGTTGGGGCTCTTAACTCACCCCATAATTACAAAAACTTGTCAACATGAAAAGCTGGCAAAGGGTGCCATAAAAAATCTGAAGGTGATAGACTGGAAATTTTTCAGTCCGTGAAGTCTTTTTGCTGGTGTGTGGAAAACGGCACGTAAATAAATTAGTGAACCAACGACTTTTAAGAATCCCAAAAGAAAAACAGATATGATTATCACATTCCTTTTATCAAACCATTGAATTTCAATACCTTCTACAAGCTATTTCATAAGAAAACCTCCCAATACATCTGCGCACAGATACCAAAAATGAGTTTAAGTGAATGGGCTCTCAAAAAGGTCGAAACGCCAACACACTGAAATACAAAATCTTTTTCATGTACATTCTGATTACGAACCCCGAGAGATTTTTAAATCTGAGTTTAAGAAGCGTAGGTACTAGGGCCTGGAGGTGATTTCGGGGCTGTCTGAAAAGTCGCATCGGGGAATGCAGTGGCTCTTTCCTAGCGGTGTCGCTCGGTTTGTGTGACAGCGCTACACCGGGGGGGGGGGGGGGGGGGGGGGGGNGTGGGGCGGGGGGTGGGGGAACGGGACACTAGGAGTCTGCTTTTGTTTTATTGCCTTTCCGGTAACCAAGAGACACACTGGCTCTTTCCAGAGACAGGAGGCAGAGCGGCCTGCAGCCCAGGCAGGCGAGAGTCGCAAGGCCGTCCTCCGAGACTGCTGGGCCCGCAGGCCGGGCGGCGAGGCTGCGCTCCGGGCGGACACTGACCTGTGGGGTCTGCGGAACCTTTCCTCAAACATTGTCGGGCAAGCTCAGCTTTCCCCAGCCGAAGCTGCGGCAGCCCCGCTTCCGGGATTCTCGGGCTTCCGGAACGACGGAAGACCCGGAAGTGGCTGAAGAAGAGACACCGAGCAGAAAACGGCTTCCCGGGTCTGCGGCGAGCCGGCGAGGGCCCGGCCACGGAAAACGCCGAGGAGCCGAGAAGCCGAAGGGCCGAAGGACCGAACGGCCGAGTAGCCGAAGAGGACGGTCCTCGCTCTGGGATTGGTCGGCTAAAGTGCGTCTGCTTGGCAGAAAAGTCACGAAGCGGTCAGCGCGGGGTCGCGGCCCGGCGTGAAGAGGCTTCCGTGTCGAGGCCCGGCGGGACGCCTGGGCTCTGTGGGCGGGCTCAGGACCGCCGGACCAGCGCCGCCGGGTGGTGGTGGGACGCCTGCGCGCCGGAGAGCAAAGGGACGACCTTATGAGGAGGACACTCTCTCCTCTTGGTGGGTGTCGTGCTGACCATCTCCCCAGATGTGAGGCCGTGCCCCCCCCCCCCCCCCCCACATCAGGTAGCTCCTCTGAGCAGGGGCTGCAAGCCGCCCGCCGTGTGGTGTGCAACCCTGGCGACCAGGAGCAGGAATGACCTTGACCGGTGGCTTGGTTGGAAGGTTCTTAGGAAGTCAAGTAGAGAGCCCTACTCAGAGGAACCCTCATGGTCCTTTCAATGCTTGCAACCCCGCAGCCACCCTACACCAGCTGCACTCAGGCTGGTGAGAGCAGTGGGACAAGAATACAATTCTTCCTCCATCCCAAACCCTCTCCATGTATTTTATTGCTGTAATTGCTCTGTACAACAGAGAGTTCTTATTCAAACTGTGAAACATGGACAAAGTATAGGAAAAAAAAAAAAAAAAGAATATGGAACGCTGGTACCATTCACTCCGCACAAGACAGTTTGCTGTCACTTAACACCTGGCGTAAGTTCTGTTCATTAAGGACATCTTGGGAGCAATATAGGCTGGGGAAGAGAGAAGGCCGACGTGAAACAAACTCCTTTGATTCTATTCGGTGACCCAACAATGTAGATGACACAGGTTGGTAGGATGTGGAGTTCAGATAGGGACAAGAGGAAAGTATCTCCAGATGTAGCCTATGAACCGCATGGTGGCCACTAGCTTCTTGTGACTAGTTTAAAATACAGACTGCTCTGTAAGGTATGGGCATGATTCTAAGACATATCAAAAAGGGATACGAAAAGCTCATCAATTTTAGGTATTGATCATTATATTGGAAGTGTTCCAAATTTTTAAAATTACGTAATACAGTTCCCATTATGTTTCTGTTGGGCAGTGTTGTTCAAAGATTAGATTCTCTTTGAAGAGCAGGTGGTTGACTTGGTAGTGTACGAAGATGTCCATGTTGCCCTTCTCAGGTAGCCTACTGTGATTCACTTAATTTTTGTTTCCTTTGGAAGCTGCTTTTTTCCTGTGTAGCCATGGTTGGCCCCAACAGCATTTCTGTCTCAGCTAAGATGACAGCTGTATGTTATCCTGCCTGGTTTCCCTTGATTTTTATGAGAAAGATAAAGGTGAAATTAAAAAAGAGGGCGACTGGGAGAGGGCTCAGAAACCTGAAGGTACTTTCTGGCAAGCAGGAGGGTCAAACTGGATCCCGGAGACTCACATGGTAGAAAGAGCACCTCCTCTTGAGTCGTTCACAGTGATTGCCCCTATAAACACATGTACACACACACTAATCAATTACATATAAACACGCACACACGATAAACAACTACATATAAACACACACACACACACAAACACTGACAAAAATGGGTAGAGAAGACACTTTCAGTAAGCCTCTTCAGTTCAAAGAGTTTTAATAGGTTTATGAACATCACAATATCTTAATAATAAAGATCCCAACTTCCCAGGAAATTTGAATTATGTTAGATGACTCTTGAGAAAGCAGGAAGCAGGCATAGCGTTTAAATTTTGCAGAAAATATTTAAAATAATTTCTGTATTCTCAGTATGAGAATACTTTGTTTTGACAGTGAACTAGTAGTTCCAGAAACTTTGTTTCCAGTATTTTAAAACTTGCCTTAAAAACATATCCATTCACTTATTGAACAAAAGCCTGGGCCTCGGATACTGCTAGGCAGTGTTAACGAGAATACAAGTCAAAGAGTAGACAGACATGGCCTTTATTTCTTGAAGCTAATAAGGATCAAGTCAGTGACTATGTAGATAATAAGCAAGGCATAGTGGGTTCTGCTTTTGTAAATTAAACACATTAGTATTTTTAGCCAAGAATTTATTCATACAGATGTTCTAAGAAAGAGTTTTGTGAAGGCTTGACTGTGGTCTTTTAAAAAGTATGAACAAATTAATATAATTCAGTCATTTACCATGAGAGTTTAAAGAAGAAAAATTGATTATTCTTTTACCTTTAAGTACAATGAAAATATTAAATTATAATTGCATCTTATATCCTCCTTTTGCCTTTTAGTGACTTTTAGATTCTAAAGAATTTAACAATAAAAATGTTAAGAACACATTGATTTATGCCTCTAACATATTTTAAAATTGCTGACTTTAAGAATTTAAATTTATATTAGCATAATACATTATTCTTAAATCAATATGATTGGGTTTTTAAAGAAAAAGTTGATCTTACAATCTTGTTATTTTACTATTGCTGCTGTAATGAATTACCACAAAGTTAGCACCTCAAAACTACCCTTATTTATTATTTTTTTATTTTATATTTCCATATGGGCCTCAGTGGACTATACTCAAGGTGTGCACAGGCCCTGCTTTTCCCCTGGAAGCTCAATGAAGGAATCTGGAGCTTTTCTTCATCAAAGGATTAACTGCCAAATTTAGCTTCTTGCTCCTGTCAGGTTGACATTTCTTTTATCCTTTCTTTCTTTTTTGCTCCTTGACTGTTGTGAGCAGAAGACTTTTGGAATGGTCTGGAGACCACCCACAATCTCCATGCTGGGCTGTCTTCCTCCATCTTCTAGTTAGCATCAGGGGGACGACACCCTCTGCTCCTCTCTTCTTCTCTCCTTTCCATCCTTACATCTCAAATCACTGGTTTTTAGAAAAATCCATTTGATTATGTTGCCTCTCATTGTCAAGTCTGTGACTTTAATCACATTAACAAAGTCCCTTTTATCATGGTAAAGTAACATATTCCCAGGTTGTGGCACTTGGAAATCTTTTCAGACTCTAGTTGCCCCTAAGCTAATACTCAAACTCTTTAGGACAACAGGCACTGTTTTGACCATTTTTTGCCTGCTGTTTAAACAACATCCCCTAAATTTCTCGCATTTATGGTTTGCTGTTGACATTCCCTGAAGGTCTGTTGCCTAAAGGGCTGTGAAGGGGTAATGGCACTTTGGGTTCCTGGTACCTTCTAATACCACTTTTTAAACCTTACTTCCTGGCTGACTATTTACTAGCTTTGCTTTATTCTTGTCCCCATTATTTCAGATGTGTCATACCAGCTGATGGCCTTTAGCTTTACCACATGACAAGTGTACTCTTCCTTGTTTGCCACAATAGCCTTTTTAAAATACTAACCTCCATAAACCCCTCCTTCTTCGAACCATGAAATGCTGCTCCCCTTGTCAGTTCTTCAAAATATAAAGCAGTTCCCCTACTCTTGGCACGAGTTACATGCTGGTAGTATAGTGTGTAAGATGTCAAGCAAGTATTTATTTATACATGTTATTTCTTCATATAAATTGTGAATTTGTTTGTGAATAAGATCATAGATGTGGCTTTGCTTGAGTCTATTTTATTTAAAATATATTAATACTTATTTATATTATTTTGTCATACTGTAAATTATTTACTCTTTTGTGTCATCGCTAATCTATGAACTCTATTTCTCTTTCTCTATGTGTCTATTGTCACAAGAGAAAGTAAGTAATTGGCGAATAAATAAATTGGGAAGAATGATACAGAATACTTAGTATGTTCAGTTGTTTAAGTCAAAAAAGTTTATGAAGTGAATTTTGGAGAAAATATGTGTGTATATTTATATGTATATATAGTTACTTTATTATCATAATTTTGTTTAAATTATTAAAGAAACATAGCTAGTGGTTTGAAGTATGAATTGTGGAATTAGAGCACTTAAATCTTTCCCTTGTCTCTTATAAAACTGTATGATCTTAGGCAGGTTTTTTGACTCTATCACCTTAAAACAGAATGGTAATAATAACTTTCTTTATGGTTAAATAAGTAAATGAATGATTTAATAAAATATTTGTAACTGTATTCCACAGTCAATGTTCTATAAATATTTGTTAAATAAAAATAGTATTTTCTATGCTTTCTGCTTTTGATGATAAGTAATGATTTTATAATACAATATATTTTTTAAAAATAGTTCATGGCTTACAATTGGTTGTTGAAGTAGAATTTCTTTACCTTTAATGATCTATAATACTTTAAATCATATAATGACCCTCTATCCTCATTAAGTACTTGTATATACTTTGTCTCACTAGGAGTTGGCATATGTTCTCTTTGTACTATTTTTGTATTGTTGTCATAATAAATTGGCACTAACATAGTGAGTTAAACAATGCCACTTTAATAGCTTACTCTTTAGGTCAGGAGTCCAACACTGATCTCATCAAATTGTCAGCAATCTATATTAGGTTTTAGAGCCTCCAGTCTGGAATCTGGTTTCTTGGCTTTGTACCTTCTAGAAGCTGTCTAGCATTCATTGACTCATGCCCCTTTCTTTCTGCTTCAAAGCTTGAAATGTTGCATCTCTCTAATAACTCTCCTGTCTTTATGGCCCCTTCTCTGACTACAGGTAGAATATGCTTCCTGCTTTTACGATTCGTTTTTCTAGTTCATGATCAGTCTGTAGTTATATCTTCCTTGTCTTTTAAACTATGCAATGTTTTTATTTGTTTATTTTGTTGTTGTTATTGTCGTTACAAAACATTTTTGTGTGTTTTACAGGTTTGGGGTATAGACATTTTTAAGGACCATTATTTTGACATTTACACTGATGAAAGGTATATAAGTTGAACTTTTGGAGAGTAAGTATAGTATATAGATTGTGAATAATGGGGTTAATATCATTTGTACCTCCAGTGTTTGGTGAGAGCCGAATCTGTTTATTCGAGGACCAACATTCTTGATGAAGCAATGGTCAGTCTGTTCATCTTGTAGAACTTTTAGTAAGTGGAATATGAGCTTGTAGTCGTTGATGATCTTATCTGCCAGGCAAGATACTCTTAATGTTTTGATACATCAATCCCATTAATTTCTGCAGCAAGTTTATGAGGTTTTAGAGGTATTCAGAGAGGACTCTTGATAACCCTCTTGCCACAACAGTCAAACTCTTGTGCAATCTCATTCCTTTAAATGAGAGTTTGACTCACACTTTTCCAGCGAATGGGAGAAGAACGATAGATTTTCATCCCCGCTTAGGAACTAAACAGTTCCTGCTTCCATTTGGTTTGACAAAGG